AGTGATATGACTGCCTATCACTCTTTTAAAGTGGTGACCTGTGTTGTTTGTCATACACCAGCAGCATGCATCTTTTAAAAGTTAAATGATTTTTAATGGGTCACATTATGGTAATAAATACCCACTGTTTAAGAAAATGTACGAATGGAAACCCTGCTATTAGGGTGCAGTCAGGATACCAAGTCAGTACTATACTGGCATCCAGTGGCTGATATGGGAAGATTGTGGGAATGCCTATAGCAATTCTACTTCTCTATGTGGTTACACCAACAAATTACCTTCTTACATACATATGAACATTTAGACGCAAATTTGTCCATGCATATGGAATGAAGCATTAATAATTCATCAACTTGGTCAGCATTTTAAATATTTAATCCTTTGCAGTCTATGTTAAAGGAATAGTTCACCCATAAATGAACATTATGTCCAATTAAAAAAAAAGACTCAGTGTTTTTTTTGTTTGTTTGTTTTGTTTTTTAGAATATACAATGTAAGTCAAAGGGCCCCAGTGTTGTTTTGGACCCCATTGACTTTCTTAGTACTGACAAGAACAAAATTTATTTTTTGTGTGTCCCACAGAAGAAATAATGTCATAAATTAAGTCTGTAACAGTTTTGTAGCAGTAAATGACAATGTTTTGTTTTGTCTCATCGTGAGAAAACAACTATTTTAGGAGGTGGTGATTTTGTATGAATTTGTAAAATGTGATTTGTACAAAAACGGGGCCTACTATTAAAAAGAAAGGGATAGTTCACCAAAAAAATTTAAATTCAGTCCTCAATCACTCACCCTTGTGTCATTCCAAACCCTTATGGGTTTCTTTCTATGCTGAGACCGAAAGATGTTTTTAAAAACGTGGGTAAGCGGTTAATGGTACTTTCATAGTATGGAGGAAAAAATACTAATGTAAGTCAATGGCTACCATCAACCGCTTGGCCACCCAAGTTCTTTAAAACATTTTTACCCCTCCAAAATCTGCACCTAGTGGCAAAGAACGAATTTGCATTTTCATTCACACCAACGCGAAAAGACCAACAAGTGGGCGGGCAATATGCTAATGTTTCATGTTGACGTCAACATAAAACGGCTTGGGATTCGTTTTAAAAACGACTCGTTTCAATGATTCAGAGTCGACTCTTTCTTTCGATAGACAATAACTTTATACACGGAGCACTTTCAGATTTAAAACTTTGCAGGATATTTTCATTCACTTAGAGCTGTGTTACACACTGCATGAAAGGTCATTTAAAAAAAATCCATAATAGGGTTACTTTAACATAGCCTACTTACGGGTGAAATTGTGCGAATTCTTACGAATTGGCCACCAATTCGCCTAAAAATGGTTACGAACTTGCACGAGAGTGTTCTGTTGGCTGACCTTGTGAGCAAAGTAGACGTACAAGGAGATCCATACATGTCATAAAAACATAACTTTTTCCTCAAAACTCATCTTGAGTTTTGAATCGCACAATGACTGAAAAGACGGAGGTCTGTATTAAAATTAAACAACATGCTATGTATGCTGTGTGCTGAGACAGGAAGCAGGAGACGCACTACTATACTCTGAATGTGCTTACGCTTGTGTATTCAATTACCTCGCCCCAAGTTGATCCATGGTTCAACAATAATTTTAATTTCATGGAAGAGTACACAAATACCTGGGGATTGAAAGATTTCTGCATTTTAATGACCTGGGTTACAGTAGGACACCTGCTGACACCGTCTGCAGACCTTTTTTGTGCAACGGCGCTAGTCCTGACTGGCGAAAATAAACAAACGCTCAGCAATCTATCAATCAAGCGTGTTGCTATGATAACTAATGGTGTGAGGAGGTCCCGCGTCTCTGCAGAAGTGCTCTCTCCATCAGTAACACCAGCAGGGATTCTCTGATGGCTCTTTATACATCCTGGCAAGAGAGTCGGGAGTATTTCCTCCCAAAATCAAGGTGTGATGGAACAGAGATAACTGACATGAAGCGTGCCTCTAAAGTGATTGAAAGCCTCAGTGCTCGCGCACGCTTGTGATTGTACTTCGGATAGGCGCTATATTCTAATGGAAGAGAAAGTCAGCATGTTTAGCAGAGAAAGGAAAACTGTGAAACTTATTCTGACTGATAACTTTCCTATTGTGGTGTGGTCAATTTGATTTCAACCTGCTTGAAACACTGGTTAAACTATTTATTCTTGTTGACTTTTCCCTCAGAGTCATGAAGGGCCTGCAAATCTTCGACACAGATGTGTTTTGGAAAGGGTGTACAAATTTTGGCGACTACAGTGTTGGGGTCGAAGGATTGAAAGGATGTTTTTGGTTGTTATTATTTTTTGGTGTTTAAGTTGCAGCACTGAAAAGAAGTGTGAAAAAAAATTACCCTCAAAACCAGACAAAACAAAAAATGCAGAGGCTATAAATATTAATTTTAAATAAAATAAAAAATATTATTTATACTAAGTAAAAATAATGTTGGTTATTAGTTATTTGTAGTCATTTGCGTCTAAGTGAATGAACTCTCACTACAAAGTAGGCCTAGCCATGACAAAAAAAAAAAACATCAACAAAAGCCAATTTTAAACAGAAATATGTGGGACAAATTGACCCCTAAACAAAGAGTTCATCATTTCTGATATGTTAGAAATTTCTCATGTTTTTAGTCTCATGAAGTGTTTTCGGTAGTGTTGATTTTTGGCAAATTGCATTGAAACCAATGGGGGTTAAACTGATGTCCAACACAAACGGGGCACCCATGTTATAAACACAACAGGAGGGTTAAGCTAGAAAGAAATCGGCATTGACAGTTCTAACTCCTGTTTGTGACTGGACAGACTGGTGTCCAAATGTGTAAACTTGCTCTGATATTGCAAGAATGCAGACAAAAACAAAGCTGTCCCTGGTAGAGGCTCATTAAACTCAACTCGGACCATTTTAAATGCTAATTCTGCAGCGGCTCGTGTGCATTCTGCATTAATGGCAGCACTTTTTTTCTGAATCCAGAAGACTGGAGAGCATCGCATGAATATCAAACATGGTGTATAAATTAAATTGGAGATTTTGACTGGAATGACTTTGAGCATCTGTTTTAAATGTAAAATTCCAAATGCAAAGCCCACTTTGGAAAATGAAATGGAATTTGTACTTCAGAGCCATCAACTCTCTAGGTTGTTTTTATTCTGTAACAAGCACTTATTATGATGAGCGCTATTAAACCCGGCAGTAGAGGAGACCGCGTCAGCAGCGCCTGCAATGTCAAAAGCCCCTGCGAAATGTCCAACCGGTGGCCTCTCTCTTCATAAAGAGGCTTTTCAGCAGGTTCTGCCAATGCCAAAGGTCAGATTACACACATAACCACTGTTGCTTTATCAGACTCGCAGACAGAGCCCCGCCAAACACCTCACCAAGAAGCGGCGGCCCTCTGTCTCATATCGACAGGTGGGGGGAAAAAAATTATGAATACAATTGACTCGCAGTCATGCCTGCTGACATTTCCAATCAATAGGCCTCTATAATTGATCAATCTGCTGCAGCTGCAAACTTCTAAACTGTTTCAACAAATAGCTTTAGACTAAATAGTTTTCACAAGACAAATCGGTGAGCCTAAAAGGGCATCATTAGATATTAAAGCAGAAGCAGCAACTTGTCTGTGCTGGCCTTGGGCGTTCTATTTAGAGTCAGTAATAAATGGTTTGCTCACCAGTATCATCTGTCGCCTTGCCTTGGCAGTCACTTTTCTCTCAGAGATTTTACCACACACAAAGCTGCAGCAGAAGGCCTATATTGGCTTATATGAGCGTAAGGTAAATGTCAGGATAAATAATAGCAAATGCTGTGGGAAAGAAAATGGTTGAAAAATTAAAATTCATCATTTACTCACACTTTGATCCATACCAATCATCATATTGATCCTTACCAATATTTCCTCTGTGGAACACAATAGAAGATATTTAAAAATAAATAAAAAGAAACAAATAAATAGGATGAAATGGGGTCAATTGGGTCTAATGTTTCAGATCACTCATTGTATATGGACAGAAACAGTTGATCATTTTTCAAAATTTATTTATTTTTTGTTTTCTACAGTAGTCATACAGGTTTGGAACAACATGAGGATAAGGAAATAATGACAAAACTTTAATTTTAGAGTAAAATATCCCTTTAAGACTATACACTTTTAAACAACTGTTCATTCAAAATTATGGGGTCTGCAAGATTTATTTATTTTTTTTTAAGAAATGAATTTTTTTATTTAGCAATGGCAAATAACTGCCAGTTTTGATCAAGTTAAGGACATTTATAATGTTACAAAAATGTACATTTAAATAAATGCTGGGCTTTTAACTTCTGAATCAATTCCATTCTTTTTTCAGGACTCAAAAGAAAACCTGAAAAAAAAAATAAACATCACAGTTTCTGCACAAATATTAAGCAGCACACCTGTTTTCAACATTGATGATAAGAAAATTATATCAGAAGGATCTTGCGATACTTAGGATTGGAGTAATGGCTGCTAAAAACAAGCTATTTGCAAATAACAAGAATAATTAAAAAAATATAAAGAAATGGAAAACTTCTTTTAAATAGTAATATTTCATGATATTACTTTTTTTTTATTAAATAAATGGTGCGCATAAGAGGCTTTCAAAAGTAAGAATAAGAAAAAATCTTACAAGCCACACATTTTTGACCAGTAGTGTATGTTTGTACATTACAGCAAATATGCGTGTTTTGGTTTTCAGTTTCAAAACTAATAACATTATGAGGTTGGGTGACACAATTAGACTATACTCAGCATCTTTCAGCCCAGGACACCCTCTTCTGCATCTACTCTGAGACCATTAAATATCCACTTAAACTCATAGAAAGTCGAAGAGCTCTTCCATTAACTGTGCTTCTTAATGTACATTACAGAGCAGAGCAGACTTCATAAAAGCTGTTTTTAACTTCCTTAGTGCATCTGTGGGGATATATTAATTGAATAAGTTAAAAACCTCCCGAGACAGAGAATATTAAACATTGGAAACTATTTATTGAACATTTATAACCAAATATCTGTTAAATACATCATTTATTCTTATTCTTTATGTCTCAATGACAAAGACAGAATACCAATATTTACACTTTGAATATGGAATGTTGCATGACACTTTAAGGCGCAAAGTCTTTTGGCTTTCGTTTGATCGGAACAACAGTGAAAGAAAAATGTAATGAAGCTGTCAGTAAGGGTGAAAATCATAATTATTCAGCTAAGAGTAAATTAACGTGTATTGAACTCCCCATTTCAAGTTCCTTCAAATGAGGCAAAGTTGATAAATTATACTTTGAAAAGACAAATATCTTTGTATATTACACATAACTGGCTCCACACTCCCGCACACGTCACAGCTCCGTCTCCTAGGCCACGGTTTTGAAGGTCTGTAGTATCAAGTTAGTTTGGTGGATAAGCCTGTTGGCACTGATAAAGACGTTTATTGCCCTGTGGACGGGAAAGAGAAAAGTCACTGCTCAGGACATCAATTGGCTGATCATTTTTCATTGAGAAATGCACTTTCATAGAAGATCTGTAAAACAGATGTCTGCTAGAAGCATAAGCACTGCACTTTAAAAAGACATCCGTCACTGTCCTTGCTTACTTTCCATCTTTAAAGTATGTTTTCAGCGTATCACTGAAGCTTTTGGAGTACTTCACAAACTCCTTCTTTTGGTGTTCAAGTGCCTGGGAAAAAAAGTTAAACATGTTAATATTTGGCTATTAAAAAGAATTGAGCTTAACTAGCAGCATTTGTGACATACTGTTGATTATGCAAAAAACAAAACAAAAAAAGGAGATCAAGGTTATAATGAGGCACTTAATACAATGGAAGGGGACAATTTTTTATGATTAAAAAGAAATGTGAAGCTTATTTTCTAAAAGCACTTACATTACATCTCAAAGAAAAGTTTTAATACAAAAATTTAAGTCATTTAAAGGTTTTAGCCATTAGGCTGTCATTGCAACAAATTTGTTACAAAGTATAATTAGATGAAACTTTACACAGAAAAGCTTAATAAATTATTTTCTTCACATTATGTTAACACAAATGCATCGCATACATTCTTACACAAATGCATCGCTTTTTTACAAAAAATGCATCGCTATGCTTCAGAAGGCCTTTATTCACCCCTGGAGCCATGTGGAGCACTTTTATGATAGATGCACTTTTTTGGGCTTCAAACTCTCGATCCCCATTCACTGCCATTATAAAGCTTGTAAGAGCCAGGACTCCAATATAGCTCTGATTGTATTTGTCTGAAAGAAGAAAGTCATATGCACCTAGGATGGCTTGAGGGTGAGTAAATAATGGGGTCATTTTCATTTTTGGGTGAACTATCCCCTTAACTTGTATTAATCCCAGAAAATTATTTAAAAAAAATATCCCAACCTGCTTGTGCAACAGTGAAAATCTGTGAAATAAGAAATACTTACCCTGCGATTCTGATACTGATATTTCTTAAACACATTGTTGACTGTGTCCAGCAGCTCTTTTATAGCACTGGCGATGTCTCTGTGGAAATCAGCGAAAGGTCAGGAGTGATGAATACATTTATGAACAGCGAAGCACTGACTCAGCAGTCAGGCAGTGGAGAGTGGCAAGATAACAGAGAGGAGAGTTCCATTAAAATGTCTACAAATTTTTCACGGTTGAACATCTCCTGAGGTCTATGTATCCATGGTATTGTCAGCTATGTGAGATCACTTAGTCAATTAATTGTTGGCTGATTGCTTAATTAAAACTAAAGTACTACACTTTAAACAAGACTATAAGGGGAGAAAAATCTATAGGCTCCAAACGATTTTGACTGCAGTTATTGCGTGATCATTACTCTAGTTTGTAGTAAGTAAGTACAACACAAGTATTCATTTAGCAGAAGCTTTATCCTAAGTGACATACAGTACACTTATTACTGGGACAATCCCTCTGGAGTGACTGGAGGTTAAGTGCCATGCAGATTACCGGGGCAGATCTTTAACCACTATGCCATCAAGGTGAAAACACGGGACAGGATCCTCACTTTATGGTCTGTAGGAAGCGCACTCTGTCGTTGATCTCGTCTGGGATTTTACTCAAGATATGTTTGAGGGCCCGTGCTTTCTCGTTTAGGTCCTGGAATTCCTGCTCTGGTCTTTCAATCATGTACTCTGTGAAATATGAATCACAAAACGTCTTAGGTTCAGATACTAAAACAGTCATTATTTGTATCATTTTGAGTGTAGGAAAGATTCAGAAATAGGGACTGTACCAGAAGCAAATAATATTATTTTTTTACCTTCCACGTCATCTGCAGCCAATGACACTTTAAGGCGCAAAGTCTTTTGGCTTTCGTTTGATCGGAACAACAGTGAAAGAAAAATGTAATGAAGCTGTCAGTAAGGGTGAAAATCATAATTATTCAGCTAAGAGTAAATTAACGTGTATTGAACTCCCCATTTCAAGTTCCTTCAAATGAGGCAAAGTTGATAAATTATACTTTGAAAAGACAAATATCTTTGTATATTACACATAACTGGCTCCACACTCCCGCACACGTCACAGCTCCGTCTCCTAGGCCACGGTTTTGAAGGTCTGTAGTATCAAGTTAGTTTGGTGGATAAGCCTGTTGGCACTGATAAAGACGTTTATTGCCCTGTGGACGGGAAAGAGAAAAGTCACTGCTCAGGACATCAATTGGCTGATCATTTTTCATTGAGAAATGCACTTTCATAGAAGATCTGTAAAACAGATGTCTGCTAGAAGCATAAGCACTGCACTTTAAAAAGACATCCGTCACTGTCCTTGCTTACTTTCCATCTTTAAAGTATGTTTTCAGCGTATCACTGAAGCTTTTGGAGTACTTCACAAACTCCTTCTTTTGGTGTTCAAGTGCCTGGGAAAAAAAGTTAAACATGTTAATATTTGGCTATTAAAAAGAATTGAGCTTAACTAGCAGCATTTGTGACATACTGTTGATTATGCAAAAAACAAAACAAAAAAAGGAGATCAAGGTTATAATGAGGCACTTAATACAATGGAAGGGGACAATTTTTTATGATTAAAAAGAAATGTGAAGCTTATTTTCTAAAAGCACTTACATTACATCTCAAAGAAAAGTTTTAATACAAAAATTTAAGTCATTTAAAGGTTTTAGCCATTAGGCTGTCATTGCAACAAATTTGTTACAAAGTATAATTAGATGAAACTTTACACAGAAAAGCTTAATAAATTATTTTCTTCACATTATGTTAACACAAATGCATCGCATACATTCTTACACAAATGCATCGCTTTTTTACAAAAAATGCATCGCTATGCTTCAGAAGGCCTTTATTCACCCCTGGAGCCATGTGGAGCACTTTTATGATAGATGCACTTTTTTGGGCTTCAAACTCTCGATCCCCATTCACTGCCATTATAAAGCTTGTAAGAGCCAGGACTCCAATATAGCTCTGATTGTATTTGTCTGAAAGAAGAAAGTCATATGCACCTAGGATGGCTTGAGGGTGAGTAAATAATGGGGTCATTTTCATTTTTGGGTGAACTATCCCCTTAACTTGTATTAATCCCAGAAAATTATTTAAAAAAAATATCCCAACCTGCTTGTGCAACAGTGAAAATCTGTGAAATAAGAAATACTTACCCTGCGATTCTGATACTGATATTTCTTAAACACATTGTTGACTGTGTCCAGCAGCTCTTTTATAGCACTGGCGATGTCTCTGTGGAAATCAGCGAAAGGTCAGGAGTGATGAATACATTTATGAACAGCGAAGCACTGACTCAGCAGTCAGGCAGTGGAGAGTGGCAAGATAACAGAGAGGAGAGTTCCATTAAAATGTCTACAAATTTTTCACGGTTGAACATCTCCTGAGGTCTATGTATCCATGGTATTGTCAGCTATGTGAGATCACTTAGTCAATTAATTGTTGGCTGATTGCTTAATTAAAACTAAAGTACTACACTTTAAACAAGACTATAAGGGGAGAAAAATCTATAGGCTCCAAACGATTTTGACTGCAGTTATTGCGTGATCATTACTCTAGTTTGTAGTAAGTAAGTACAACACAAGTATTCATTTAGCAGAAGCTTTATCCTAAGTGACATACAGTACACTTATTACTGGGACAATCCCTCTGGAGTGACTGGAGGTTAAGTGCCATGCAGATTACCGGGGCAGATCTTTAACCACTATGCCATCAAGGTGAAAACACGGGACAGGATCCTCACTTTATGGTCTGTAGGAAGCGCACTCTGTCGTTGATCTCGTCTGGGATTTTACTCAAGATATGTTTGAGGGCCCGTGCTTTCTCGTTTAGGTCCTGGAATTCCTGCTCTGGTCTTTCAATCATGTACTCTGTGAAATATGAATCACAAAACGTCTTAGGTTCAGATACTAAAACAGTCATTATTTGTATCATTTTGAGTGTAGGAAAGATTCAGAAATAGGGACTGTACCAGAAGCAAATAATATTATTTTTTTACCTTCCACGTCATCTGCAGCCAAGCGCAGTAGTGACTCTGTGAAGTTGATCTCGACGTTCTTCTTCTCCAGTATCTTCATGATGATATCCTGAGTGAGGCCTGGGTTCTCTTTCTCTGCCTTGAGAGGGTGGCGTTGATTGAAGAGCATTAAACTCACATCAGTAAACCTCATATTATGTTGAGCATGAAATTAATCATTTTTTAAAAACAAATACATCACAAGGGCCAGATGAAGAGAGATATAAATAAATAAATACTGTATCATCTGCATCTGCCAGCTGATGAATGGACACTTTCAGGAAGTCTTACTTTGATAAATGCTGCCCGCAACGTCTGTGCTGCTGACAGGTTTATCCCCTCCAACTGTCAGATGAACAAATTCAAAATCAGACATTTCATATTCACATACTTTATGATGAAATATCAACTACTTGAAGCTACACTACTGCTAAAAATGTTGGGGTCAGTAAAACTTTTTTCATCCATATTTATTAAGAATGCATTCAATTGATCAAATGTAACAATAAAGACATGTATAATGTTATAAAAGATTTCTATTTCAAACAAATGCTGTTCTTTTGAACTTTGTATTCAACATGGATTAAAAAACACAGGTTCTGCAAAAATCACAACTGTTTCCAGCATTGACAATAATACAAAAGGCTTCTTGCGCACCAAATCAACATATTTAGATCATGTGACACTGAAGACTGGAGTATTGGCTGCTAAATATTCAGCTTTGCCATCACAGGAATACATTACATTTTAAAATATTTTCAAATGGAAAACTGTTATTTTAAATTGCAATTATTTAAGTTTTAAAGGGGTCATATGATGCTGCTAAAAAGAACATTATTTTGTGTATTTGGTGTAATGAAATGTGTTTATGTGGTTTAAAGTAAAAAAAAACACATTATTTTCCACATACTGTACATTATTGTTTCTCCTCTATGCCCCGCCTTTTTGAAACGAGTCGATTTTTACAAAGCTCATCGGTCTGAAAAAGCGAGGTGTGCTGTGATTGGCCAGCTATCCAGTGTGTTGTGATTGGCCGAATACCTCAAGTGTGAGACGGAAATGTTACGCCCCTCACCATACTGTTGATGCCGTCTCCCGGAGCGACAAGACAAAAAACATGAAAACCCATTATAAACGAGGCATTTGTTGCATCCAGTGGGGACATAATTATGGATTATAATGACTTATACTGTCTTTTTACGTGTTGCGTTGCATCGCGCCGCGTAAACAAAACCATGTCTGCATTTGTGATCAGAAATGACAAACAAGCACTAACGTTATTCTACACTGCTCAAAATTCGCGTTTGAATCATCAGTGGCAAATCCTTTAAATGAAAACGTACTTACAGGCTGTAAGTCAGAACAGCCGGCGGCGGGCCAGCGTGAGCTGAGGCGGCGGGCCAGCGTGAGCTGAGCAGCACTAAGTTGATGTATTTCCTCAGCGACCAGCACAGATCAGCTCTAGGCATGACGAAGCGGATATTGTCCTCTTTTGGAAGACCAAACAAAGTAGTTTCGCTTTCACAACGAAAAACACAGCGGCCTAGCG